TCAAAACATCATGTGAAAGCCCACAGAAAAACACTCTTTTTACTTTGTTTTTCATATCGATTCTCACAGAACACAACACATGGCATCCACAATCTCCTCGCTGAGCAATCGGAAAAACATCACATCGCGGCACCGCTAACATCCTTCCAAATACTAAACACGAACGCTCCTCCGTTTCCTCAGCTCGAATTGACTTGAGTTTGCGTCATTCTTCATTTCAGCGTGGTGCTTTTGGAGCTGAGTTTACAATGAAAATAGCATTACTGTAAATGTTTATGCTGTCGGTGCGGTGGCTGTCAGAAGACGTATGGCCCTGTCCACGTACTGTTAGTGCCGGGCCTGATGTGTTTGGACGGGTGTCGCTGGCTGTTTGAGTTGTAAATAAGATTGAATGGAAGCAGGATTAGCACACACGCATGCATGCCTGTAGCAGCAGCAGCAGCAGCAGCAGCAGCAGCTCCAGCTCATGTGAGATCCATGCTAAACTGGGGGTGGTGTATAAATTTGCCTAAGTGTTTGGGCCAAGGCCTGTGACTGGGTGTGCAATCGATGTGCCAAGTGCAATAAATCAGTGTGGGCGGAGTAGGATGGGCCCACAGCTATATCTGATGTGGCAGGTGGGCTTCAGGGTCACCACACACACACACACACACACTCAGGAGAAGTGGAGGATTCAAGGTTTTCTCACGAGTTAGGATGAGGGAAGGTGAAAGTTTGTTTAAATAACAAACCTGCACCTTCCCTCCTAAACTGTAATCTGTAAATGTCCACAATGGATAAAAAGATGATTCATTTTCTTTTTACATTATGATTTTTTTTTAAGTTAGTTATTTGGGCGACGGTAGAGCATTGGCCTTTGGGTCTGGGGTTCGTGGGTTCGAGCCCACCACGGAACCTACTTCAACTGCTCCCAATAATGTTTGCTGTCGCTGTGTCCTTGGGCAACACACGTTGCCTGAAGCTGCCGCTGAAACACCAGGGCTGTGGCACCACTGAAGTGAATAGTACTGTGTTGAATAGAATATGTCCATTCTAGTACAAATGTATGTCTTCTAACATGCTACATGAATCTAAACAGATTCATGTGTGTCTGTTGTAGAAATATTCACGATGAATAGGTTGCTTTAAGATAACTTCAGAGATCTCATGTGAAATGCAACTATATCCATACAGTACAGAACATTCTGTCCTATTTGCCCACATCTGTACTTATTCCTCAGTAAACTCCTCCATTTTGTGGTTTGATCACTGTGAAACATAATGAACTCCAAAATCAAAGTTGTTTTTCTTCCTCTTATCTTCTCGTGCCAGTTTAGTGGAACAGCTGACATCACCAGCGCTAATGCTATACGACCACCGTGTCCGTATGCTCTGTTGGCATATTTATAGATTTCATATAAAGTGCATCAGAGAAGGTGAGATGAAAGAGCAGTAAAGATAGTGTCACTTCTGAATGCCTCATAACGACTTTCCTTTGCCTTTGAAACAAGCTGCACTGGGAATACTACGCTGGAAATGACATACAGTAAATATGAGGTGACTTTGCTTCTGCCTTACCGAAAAATCCCACATATTCTTAGACTGCCAACGCTGTGCTCTCATTTTAATATTTCAACTTACATGACTGCAAACAAAAAGCAAATAGAAAAACCTACCAATAGTGAGAATTCTTTTGTGTATGATTCACTCTTAAGCACAATTCCCTCTTTGTAGAAATTGTACCTAATTCTGTAATTTGTCTAATTTCTTCGATGGTTGGACAAAGACATGGCTTGTGCATACAGTCAACTATGAAGTGTGGTAATTTGCTAACGGCTCGGAAAATTGCTACTTGACCAATATTTTTTTCTGTCCACAAAGGCGCCAATGATCGACCAGAGGACTGAAGGTCATGTGCTAAAACTGGGGAACCTAACTTTCAAAATGATAATGGAGCAGTTTGTGTTCAGAACTCTCAAAATAGTGATTCTATCCCAAATATTCATATGCTTGTATTTTTATATATTCACGAGAGCAGCTTTTTTTTACTGGCAAAAAAGTATAAATGTCAAAAACGGCATATTGTGGTCTGATTTGTACGAAACGATTTTATGTTACAAGACTTTTACTGTTGGGGAAAAAACAACAGTAAAATATTAAGATATTTTAAGAGATCCTTTATTTGTCCCACAGTAGGGAAATTTCAGTGTTGCATCTCTAACTCTAGCATCAAAGAAACAAGTATAAAATATCTCATTTTAGCATAACAAAGAAATAAGAAGAAAGTACTGCAGTATATTTACATCTGTACATGTTAGCAGCAGTATGTTTACATATGTGCATGTTAGCTGCAGTATGTTTACATCTGTACATGTTAGCAGCAGTATGTTAACATCTGTACATGTTAGCAGCAGTATGTTTACATCTGTACATGTTAGGAGCAGTATGTTTACATCTGTACATTAGCAGCAGTATGTTTAAATCTGTACATTAGCAGCAGTATGTTTACATCTGTACATGTTAGCAGCAGTATGTTTACATCTGTACATGTTAGCATCAAAACCAGTGGGGGCGGGTCCCGGGTCTATAGTGGCCAAAATGACGTGCGCTGACATGCTTGCAATCCTCTATATGAAAAAAAATAATGTTAACTACTGCTCAATTTGATTACAAAAATGATAATTAAAATAAAGTAGTGATCCAAAGTGTTATGTGCTAGTTGAACGTGCATTACTCATACCAAAAACTATGAACATGTACTGTCCCAACCATCCATCCATCCATCCATTTTCTTCCCCTTAATCCATTTCTGGGTCGGGGGGGTGGCAGTCAGAGCTGCACCCAGTCACAGAGCACCAGCCCCTCACTGATCCTCCTGCAGGTGGTGAGTCCACAGGAGCTGAGATCTTTCAGTGGGGGCTTCAGGCAAAGTGGGGTTAAGTGTCTTGCCCAAGGACACAACGACAGCAGTCATCAGTGGGAGTCGTGAAGTAGGTCTTGAGGTGGGCTTGAACCCACGACCTTCAGGCTCAAAGGCCAATGCTCTACCAACTGAGCTACTGTCGCCCCAGCTCCCTAACCAACCAAATAAACAATAAATACATTTAAATCAGTAGCAGAGTAGACAGTATACAGAAACATCCCTATGCTCGTCCAACATCATAATACTCATACATGTCTGACAGAATTGGCGTTTCATTTAAGGCCCAAATAATTGTGATTATGGCATCTGCTTAACATGAACTTGATTCAACATTCATTCAATAACTGGTTTTCTAACTGGTAGACTAAAACGATGGAGCAGTGTTGATAGGGTGTCTTTAAAATGCTATAGAAGAGACACTGCACACAAAGACCACAACTGCTTCGAGTGTGCGTGGGTTTGAACAGCAGCCTTATTGTTCTGATGGGACAGCAGCAGCGTCGTCATTGCCCACTGTAATCACGGCCAGTCCACATGAAAGACACTATTGACAAGGAGAAAAGTGTCTAAGGCCGAGGAGACACAGCCCATTCTAATGAAAGGAGGAATGAGGCTGAAATAAGAGCCGCGGATAGCTCCCTAACCAAACTTCATTATTAAACAAGCGCTCGCCTTGTGCTTTGTATTAAGTCAGGCATAAACCAATGGACTGGGGAAATGACTGTACGATGAGGTATGGAGGGAGATATAACTATGGCGGTGGAGTTGCAGGGCTATTAGACAACGGTATTAGATGAAAGATTATTTTGGCTCTAGGTTATTAAATGAACAGTCACTGCTCACAGAATACACGCTGTAGTAAATGAAGAGATACTACAGCAGAGCATGTTGAAGTTAGAAATGTTCCGTCAAAAACATATCTGCACGTTCGGCAATGACAACATTGAAGTATTTATTAAGTCAGGGGACTTCAGTGGTATAAAAGTGTGCAACGGAGTGAAAAATCCCTCTAGATAGCATTCCAAAGAGACAGGAGATGAATGTCCTAAGTGTATCAACTTAGTATTGGAAAATAATGTCTACTGTTTCCAAATAAGGTCTTTTTCTATACATTTGTGCTAATTCTTGCGTGTTGAAAGGGCATTGTATAAGTCAGAAGTTTATATGCCAGACTTGGCCACATCTTTATTCTGAACACCAGATATAGTGAACATACTGAGCAGAACGTTGTAGAATAGCTGAGCCTTTTTATTCTCACTTACTTCCTCTCAATTTTCACTTTTACCAATCTCTCCGCCATCTCCACAGCCTTTGTATTGGCCTGGGATGGAGCCAAATAGCTTTGACTCTGTTCCCTTTTCACTGTCTCTCCTGTTTTATCGGCTTCCTGTAGTTTGCCTTCTCTAGCTGCATGCTAAATATACAAAAGAATAAGAATATCACTGACTCAATAGAAAAGGATAGGATATCAATGACATGGTTGCATTAGAATAAAACAAAAAACATCAATCAATTTTACCAACAGCTTGATGCACAACTGAGTTCATTTGATTTAGAACATGGCATAATGTCAATATTTGTATATACCATGTATAATAGTTAAAAGATGCAACAATTTTTTTTGTCAATAGACATCTGGTAGAATCAAAACTGTTACCTGTTACTGAGTGTTTTAACAATGAGTATTGAGAGTCTTGTTTGATGAAGATGTATTTATGCTAAGTAGAGTTAAATTCAATGTGTGCTTGTGCTTGAAAGCTGTGTTAAAGACAAAAGGTTTTTTTTTTTCTTGGACCAGACAAATAGCTCTTCTCAGACAGGTTTTCAAGGTTCTTCAATACTTTGCATTGTTTTAATCTGTGATCACTGTTGAACAAAAATTACAACAATTCTGACACTTTGCTTTGTTCTCTTCCCCAGGGCTGGTGGCCAACGTGGATGAAGCTCAGAGGATGAGGTTATAAGATCAACTGCGGACCAAAGGAAGAAGGGAGTTGTTCTTTCAAGTTGCCAAATTGCCAAAGTCCACCATAATATTTCACATCCCCAACAAGGATTACCTTCAACAACTAAATTTCCGCTCCCTCCCCTCACCACCATGTCCTCCCACCATTACCCCTCCCTTGTCATCCTCCCGACCCTGTTCCTCCTTACCTACTGCAGAACCCTCTCCTCATCCCCATCCTCTCTCCTCTCCTTCTCGCCACCCGAAGGAGGGCTTACGCATTTGGTGGTCAACAACAAAACGGGCGAGATCTACCTTGGTGCTGTCAACTGGATTTACAAGCTATCGAACAACCTCACCAAACTTCGCAGCCATGTTACCGGACCAGTGACTGACAACCCACGCTGCTATCCCCCACCCGGTGTGCAGTCCTGCCCTCACGAATTAATTCAAACGTCAAATGTGAACAAACTGCTTCTTCTCGACGCTTCCCACAATCGCCTAATTGCTTGCGGGAGTACGTCTCAAGGGATATGCCAGTTCCTTCGTCTGGATGACTTGTTCAAACTTGGCGAGCCTCATCATCGCAAGGAGCACTACCTGTCCAGCGTGGCCGAAGCAGGGACCATGTCTGGCGTGGTGATATCCCCAGATATCTTTGGTGGCGGAGGTAAACTTTTTGTTGGAACGCCCATTGATGGAAAGTCAGAGTATTTCCCTACCTTGTCAAGCCGTAAGTTGATGTCCAATGAAGAAAACGCTGACATGTTCAGCTTTGTCTATCAAGATGAGTTTGTGTCTTCGCAGTTAAAAATTCCTTCGGACACGCTGTCGAAATTCCCAGCCTTTGACATCTACTACATTTACGGCTTTAACAGCGAGCAGTTTGTGTACTATCTCACCCTTCAGCTGGACACTCAACTTACATCACCAGACGCCAGCAGCGAACAATTCTTCACCTCCAAAATAGTGCGTCTTTGCGTCGATGATCCTAAATTCTACTCATACGTGGAATTTCCTATCGGTTGCACGAAAGATGGCGTGGAATATCGTTTGGTCCAGGACGCCTATCTAGCCAGACCCGGAACCCGCTTGGCAAGGTCCCTGGGTATTTCAGAGCACGAGGAGGTCCTATTCACAGTCTTTGCCCAGGGTCAGAAAAACCGAGCCAAGCCGCCCAAGGAGACGGCGATGTGCTTATTCACAATGAGGAAGATAAAAGAGAAGATTAAGGAGAGGATTCAGTCGTGTTACCGAGGGGAGGGGAAGCTCTCGCTGCCGTGGTTGCTCAACAAGGAGCTGGCCTGCATCAACTCGGTAAGTGTCTTTCACAAGTGTTCTGGTGTTCATCAGACGCTTTTAAAGTGATGCTTGGTCTGATTGTTGAGTGAAAAGAAAACTGCAGTTGAAATGTTTGGCAGGAAAACATCATTATCAAGTCTGAGTGCTTCTGATGTTTTTGTTTCCTGATTATAGACATGAGTTGGAATATAGCTGTTTCAAAACTACTGACAACTTCCCATTCTTAGCTTGGCATTTAGAATTCTGACCACTGATTCAAACAAATCAAGTAGAGTGGTGTACAAATAAAAACAATATTTTCCAAGTTAAAAAAGTAAAGCAATATGTCAGTCCATTTACGTCTTGCCCAAATCTTGTAAGCTCTTATATACAGTACCCTGCACCCCGTCAGACAGGCAATCCACAACATATGTTTGGCATTGGCTCGCATATGGAATATCCTTCTCTAAGCATCCATCTGGTGCTTTTATTGCTATTAAGATACATACAGTACTTTTACATTCGCATACATGATCCCAAGCATGAGATTATTAGAATAATCTGTGTTGGTTCTTCAAAATTTACAAGATTGTCTTAGAAGTCAAAAAACAAAAGCAGTTCTGGTATTTTTTTTCTTTCCAAATCCCTCCACTGCATCACAATCTTCGCATCTGAATCTGCACTATATCTATTTCCATCTTGCCTGCTTGATATGAAAGAAGCATCCCCACGTCTTGTTAGACTGTTATAATATATACACTGTACACATGATCTTGCTATAGGTCAGATCCTTGCAGGCAGAGCTGGATTTGACATTGTTCATGAAACACTCTTAAACTAAATTAAATTACGCAGTTCACCAGCCGGCCCAGACACCATCCTATTTGTACATTAAATCAAATGTAGTTAAATATCTAGACACCATAATCAGACGGTATTGATCGAGTCTGGGGAACAGGGGTCATGTTTCCTCTGCGTTGCCGAGTGGATGCCGGTCGAGGAAGGCTTGTCTTTCTGTCGACGGGAGGATGAGTTGGTCCAGAGGTTTTGGAGGAAGCACAAGTGTATATTTCATTGGTGTATGTCTGTGTACGCCTGTGTTGCTCACGCACACATCGGCTCACATGCACACATACAGCTCATGCATTATTCAGCAGCTCTCACCTTCTGTTACTCAGTGCCTGCACCATAACAAGCTTCCATAAATCTCCGGACTGCTCTCTTCCTCTCTGGGCCTTATCCCAGTCTTCCCCTCTGCAATGCTCCGTTTTCTGCTTTGCCGTCGGCGTGTTTGTTTTAGCACAATGATTTGCTCTTGTTTTAATTAAAGATGTAAGTGATTCATTTTGACTCAGTTATTTGCCATTAGGAATGTTGCTGATATAAAATGCAAGAGACAATTAGCTAAAGATAAATATGAGAGGCTATACGCTTTAAAGTAAATTCAAATGTATGATGGGGTTTGCATGTTATCAGTAGCTTCCCACACTGCACATGAGGATGCCAAAAAGAAAATAGTGAATGAGCAAGATGCAATCATTCTGTTTGTGGGGGTTTTACCATATTGTGCTAAATCTTAGGACTTCACTATGTAAACAGTGTTCTTCAGCAAAAAATATCTGGTGCTATTTATATAATTTTTTTTGCATAATTTTGTCCACCCCTGCTACTCTTTCACAACAAATCCGTAATTATCTTGTTATCTACACTGTATGGTTGCTTTCATGTTTTCATGTTATTTTGAATTGCTTGCATTGGGGGTTGTTATTACCTTTAGATTGCAATTGCCTTTTTACATAACATAAAAGACCTACTTCACGACTCCCACTGCTGTCGTTATGTCCTTGGGCAAGACACTTAACACCACTTTGCCTGAAGCCTCCGCTGAAAGATCAAGGCTCCTGTAGACTCACCACCTGCAGGAGGATCAGTCAGGAGCTGGTGCTAAGTGTACTGGGTGCAACTCTGACTGCCAACCCCGACCTAGAAATGGATTTAGGGGAAGAAAATGGATGTACTAACAGTCATTAGGGTCTCGTAGTCTTAGAACAAACTCTTTGCATTCAGAATCCACCAGTTGTTTTCCATTAGGTAAACATAATGATAGAGCAGTGTTGAAAGGGTGCATAAGACTGCTTTGAGTGGATACGGTTCCATAATACATACACATTTCAGCCATCGTCATTGTGATATTTGAACAACACCACTCCTCTGTTTTTGCCTCTTGACTGGCACATAGAAGAAAAAGAAAACAATGTATGCACCTTATGGATTTGACAATTTCCAACCACAATCTTTCTTTTGTATCATTCACTTAGTATTCCCTCAACTCTCCCCTCCTGACCTCATTGCTTTTTCAATGTCTCCCACCTTTGACCCTGCTCATCTCCCTTTGCCTGTGCCCTCCCCCACATCTGCAGTCCCGTTCCTATAGTCTTTCTCTATCTGCGGCGCCCTCTCCTTGACTTTGCACTGAGTGATGAGCTATAGAGTGACTTAGTGTGTAAAGCCAGTGCCAGTATGTGATCTGGAAACTCAATGTGAGAGGAGGAGCACTAGGGATTCGCCGAAAAGTCAGTCTGAGGGATGTTCGCCACAGAATGGAACGGATGAGAGGATACAGAGGAGAGATTAAGAGATGTAAAACCATTCGTATTAGTTGCAGTAGTTTGAATTCTGTCTGTCTGGATTTTTTTTGTCAATGTGTAATTAATTTGAGTATTGCTTTTGGCTGTATTGTGTGTTCTACGTTTATCTACAAACAACAGTTTTGTATTTTTTTTAATACTTTTAAATTACAACAATAGTCATGCAATGGATATGTTTCCCATTGCAAACAGAAAAGCCAATTATCATTCCCTTGATTTAAAACTGTCAGTAGCTCAGCACTCAAAGACCAACTAGTTTTTCCACTTTCGGCAGTACACCATGAGTGATAGGAATACGCATTGAATCACATTGATACAAATTGAAAGTGTTTGGTCACAACTGAATACCCTCTACATATTGGTCAACTTTAATTGTTGACATAAAGTTAGACGTGAACTAAATCTTTCAAATCAAAAGCTAGCAGAGTGCATTACCAATTTTCGGTCTGATTACAAACAACACATGATTGTACTTATTAAAGAATTATCTCTTTAGTCTTACCACAAGAACTCCCAGAATTCTGAAACTATTAGAGCTCCCAGGGCAGTCATTTTGACAGCTAGTAGAATCAAGTCATTTGTACGGTTTTATCTTAAATTAAACACAGCAAAAGGAAATGCTAACTGCTGCAGGTAACAGTGTGTTGCTATGGTAACACACCTGCTCTGAGCTGAGATTGCTCTGAACCAGTCTGCGACCAGTCCAGGATGGATTTCATAAACGTAATGACATAGATATAAACTTCATATATTTACAGAGAAAGTCAATAAGCTTTGAAGACCAAAAACGTACATAGGCAGAGTAATTAAACTTACTAAATGAAAAGCCATCAACATGACTCTCCTGGGAGTTCTAGTATTAAGTCTAATTGCAATAACTAAAACTGTAATATTCTGTATTTTAGTTTTTTAGACAGTTACACTTAAATACATTGCCATAAAAGCAGAGAGTAAATTTATGGCATATGCATAGAACTGTCCTGCCATATTAAACACCAACACACATCCATTACCACCAACACATTCTGCCTCTTTCTGCTGTATTTGCAAAAAGCAGCTCGTCTAATGACGCCACAACTCATGCAAGGAGGAGTGTTGGGGCTTACATCTCTGCTGAGAGCCCACCTCTGCTGCTCGAGCACCATGTGGCCGTGTACTCCGCAGTGTACTGTATACACACGCAATTATGCTAATGTCGTACTGTTACAACATTGTCCTTAAAACCATCTGCTGCTCGGCGGTGATCGATCAAGGTCGTGTCAGCCCCTGTGTTAGCTATGGGATGTCCCGTTGATGGATTTGTCATCGGAGCGGGGTGAGTGGGGTTCCCTGACGAGGAGGTGACAGCTTGTTGCCTGTGTGCACCGCAGTCATGGGCAAACTTACTATAAACTCATTACGAGAGACAAGGTCATGTTGGAGAGTTAGCACCGAAAAAACGAGGGGATTGTAGATGATCCTGGTGTGAGGCGAGGTGGGATATAAAATGTGACAGGTGCTTTTGGGGAAAATAAAACAAAGTAATACCTTTTGCTGTAGATACATGAAGTGGCTTTCAACAGCATCGATTCAAACATTTTCAAAACCATTTTTTGAACCATACTCTTTATCATAGATCATGGGTGTCAAAGTCATCTTGGTCCTCAGATTATAATTGATTAGTATTAGAACGGGGCAAGAGTAGCTCAGTTGGTAGAGTTTTGGCCTTTGAGCCTGATGGTCGTGGGTTCGGGCCCACCATAGGACCTACTCCAACTGCTACCACAAATGTCTACTGTCGTTGTGTTCTTGGTCAAGACACTTAACCCCACATTGCCTGAAAGATCAAGGCTGTTTCACCACTGACGGAGCAGCCATCTTCCTGTGGACCACCACCTGCAGAGGATCAGCAAGAGACTGGTGCTATGAGCATTGGGTAGCAGCTCTCATTGCTACCCCCCCGACCCAGAAATGGACTAATAAAGCGGTTGAAAATGAATGAATGAATAGTATTAGAACCGGCTGCATATATTGGATAATTAATGTTGTGTGTTTTGTCTGTGAGGCTGTTGAACATTTTTTAGACAGATTTTATATTTCATTTAATCATTAAATAAGTACGGTCCACTGTATTAGGTCTTGGTTCAATAGGTTATATGCAATCATATTAATATGTTTTAATAAACATTGAAACAGATCCAGCTCTCGGCTTGGAGCAAATTTGAATATTTGGCCTCTGATGTACAGTATTCAACTTTGACATCCCTGATATAGATGTACAATGCTCCATATTCCCACTCATGGAGCTTGCTCGAGCTAGCTCTTATCAGCTTCTTCCGCAAAAAGGCAGACTATATGGCATCCGGTTTTTCCGCTCTTTGTCCATCTATGTTTCAAATCCTTTGCTCT